TCAGGGTTTTTTTTTTTTTTTCCCCAATAAATGTTTTTGTTTCTGAAAATGAGGTCTTTAAAAACGTCATATTCCTTGTACCTATGTGATCCAGCACCTATCCTGTCGGATCCAGTAGTATCTGCATTTTCCTTTTATTTTTTTCACTTAATGTGGACTTCTTTGCTGTAGCAACATTTTTTTCCCTTTAACGACATGACTTTGCTGTGTTGTTCAAAGTTAATTTCCAAGTTTAAGCACGCCTGACCGAAAAGGCCAGGGCGCACGTTCTAGTGCCTTTGGGAATGCAATCTGCCGCCACGAGTCACATTGGTTTCTAATGGGATGAAGCCATAGGTACCCTTGGCTACCATTTTCTCGCCAAAGGAGTCCATACGGCCCCCAAAGCGTTGCATGCACATCAAGTATTACGTCGAATCAATCGGCTTTGCTCAGAAATCCTCTTGAACCACACCCTCCTCCTTGAGATGAGACAAAGTAGAGCCCAGCAAACGGTGTGCGGTCCCAAAGACGGAAGAAGATGAACCGAAGAGAATCTTAAGGAAGATGGCGTTCCGTTTCTCCTCCACACTGTCAGCTGACCAACCCGTTTATTAAGGTGTAACTGCAGGAGCCGGTCCCAACAGGCTTTGCATCCTCATCACACCTATAAAAATGTCACCCGCTTCCCTTCTCTGCGCAGCACAGGCAAATGCTGGCCTCCTAGCTCCCCTTTCTAAGCTGGCGTTGTTGGTTGTGAACTGCGACGGGGACAAAATGCCCCGCAGGACCGCGGAGCTGGCCGCCGGCGGGGACCCGCCAGGGACTCTTGCCCTTGGCGCCTCACGAACACTCTCGACCGTATTCGGCTCTTTCCGGCCTCTCGAGGCGCTTCGGGTGGCCTCGGCTTCCGCCGCTCTCACGTTCGGCAGTTTCCGCGTTCCGCGCGCAGCCGTTGTCCGGGCAACGCGCTGCGGCTCCGCGGAGGTGAGTGGGGTCGAAGGGCGAGGGCTGCGAGCCGCCGGGTAGGGGCTCTGTGGCGGTCTGGGGCGGGGGAGCGGGGCGATGACGAGCCGGGCCAGACCCCGGTCCCGCGGACCCCCGGGCCATTTTCCTCCGGAAACCGGGCCTCGGCCGAGCGGGTCGGGTCGGGGTCGGCGGGAGCTGGGCGCGGCGTCCGAGGTCAGCACGCGATGATGGCCACAGCGGGCGCAGTCCGGGCTCCACCGAGGGCCGCGGGGCGGGACGAGGCCCCGGCCGGGCCCGGGAGGGGAGGCGGGCGGCGCCGGCAGGGCTCCCGGGACCCCCGCGGGACGGGGTGGGGGTTAGAAAACCGCCCCTATGCGCGGCCGGTCGGCCTTCGCGTGCAAGGCCTGCGGCTGTGACCCTGAACCGTCTGCGGTGAGGGGGCGCCGGCTGGGTGGCCGCGAGTGCCCGCGCCCCTGTATTCTGCCGCCGCCCCCCAGAGCCTCCCCCCGACCCCCCTCGCTGCTCAGTCAGCCTGCGCACCCCGAACCCCCAGCTGAGCCGGGCGCCCCGAGGCGGTGGTCCGCGGCAGGGACTGGCGTCGGACAGGAGCAAATCGCTTAGAACTAACGGAATTTGCTTCTTTTCCTCAAAGTTTGTACATTTGCCACTTTGTTGTTGTTCTAGAGGCCCTGAGTTTAAGGAAAGGAAGTGCTCTTGTTTGCGAACTGATGCCACTGATCGGTGTCGTTAGGTAAGGATAATATTGTTAGTCACCTCTTCTTGTGTTTACCCTGGTAGCTTTTGTTTATGATCATGCAGATAATACCTCTTCGTGGTGGAAAAACGTTGAAACGCAGGTACAAGGAATGGTGAGCAATCCATCACACTGGGTAAAAACGGACTCACCCACCTTGGCCGCTGTTTGCAATAAACCAGCAAGAGCATCTTCCCTTGCTAATCAACATCTTCATCGTATTCGCCTGGAAGGGGGTGCTGTTCTCAGGGCTGGGGGTGCAGCCAGGGACTCCCACCTGCAGCAGGTAGAGAAGTCAGTCAAGCACACATTTGCAATAAAGTCTGAAGGACTTTGCAATGAAGGACCGGCCTGTGTGGGGACGCTGGAGAGAAGCCTAGAACAACCTGGTAGTGAAGTCAGAGAGGGATGGGGCTTCTGAATATCCAAAGGTGGAGTGTGGGGGAGGGAGTCTCCCAGGAAGTCCCAGGCAGGAAAAAGTAGTTTAAAGACCTCAGAGTGGGCCGCCTGGCTGGCTTAAGCTGACTTGGGCTCAGGTCATGATCTCACGGTTCCTGGGTTCGAGCCCCGCATCGGGCTCTGTGCTGACAGCTCAGAGCCTGGGGCCTGCTTGGGATTCTGTGTCTCCCTCTCTGTCTGCCCCTACCCCGCTCATGCTGTCTCTCTCTCTCTCTGGGTCAAAAATAAATAAAACGTTAAAAAAATAAAACCTGTGAGCACCCATGCTTATTCCACAGCGATGTTTGAGACAAAAAATACAGGGGAAACCAGGTTTTACCTCAAGTGCTGTGGTAACTCTTCCTTCAGTCTAACAAAATTAACGCGACTTATTTTTCAGAGCAATATTTTCACCAAGTAAACTTGTTAAACACGAGTACAAATTTGTCATAGCCCCAAATTTCCACCCTTGGTTGGCTGCGACACATGAAAACCCAAAAGCTTTCCTTTGCTTGAACGCAAACGTTTCCTTTCGTTTAAACGCCCCGATTTTTATGCGGTTTTTTTCCGTTGTACTGACTTCATTTGAAAGTGCATAAGGACAGTCGGAGCCCCGTCCAGAGTGGATGTCCCCTTTGTGATGGGGGGGGAGAGGTCTCTGGATCCTGCCCCTTCCCCTGACTCCGGCCCCCCACGCCTCCCGCCCGTGCCTCCCTGCTCCACCAGCAGCCCCCAGCATGCGTTCCTTACTCCGTGGCAGTGAGAACACCACCTCAGAAAGTGTGCCTGTGTTTCGGACTCAGTCTATACTCAGAAGAAAAAGGGGAACGTTTGATACGTGACTGTTCATTTGTACTTCGTGCATTTAGCTTCTTCCTGAAATGGGTTTCCTTCTCTAAATCCAAGCTGAGACTTCGAGGCTTCCTCTGATAGAATTATTGTTGCTGCTAAAGCAAATGGCATAGTCCATTCTCCACTCCGATGGTAGAACGTCGCATTTTTTTTTAACACCATTTTTTTTCTTGTGGCTAAATATACATAATATAAAATCTACCATTGTAATTATTTGCGTGCATACAACCGGTGACATTAAGCACATTGACGTGTGGTGTAACCATCCCCACCAACCCTCTTCAGTATTCTTCATCTTCCCAAACAGAAATCCTCTCTCCATTAAACACTAGCTCCCCATCCCCCAGCGCTACAGGCCCTGGTACCCACCCTTTCGCTGTGTCTCTTTGTGACTATGCTAGGTCCCTCCCAGAGGTAGAAACACACTGCATTCGATCTTCTGTGATTGGCTTATTTCGCTGAGCGGAACGTAACGTCTCCTACGTTCATCGATATTGTGACATGTCAGAATCTCAAGGCTGGTTCATTCTGTGTCCTGTATGTGCACCATATTGTGTTTCTCCATTCATCTGTCAAGAAACAGTGGTTGTTCCGTCTTTCTGACTACTGTGAATAGTGCTGCTGTGAACGTGCGTGTACAAAGATGTACCCGACCCCCTGCTTTCAGTCTTCCGGGTGTACACCCAGAGGTGGAGCTGCTGAACTCTGTGTTTGAGTTTTCAGGAACCACCATACCGTCTTCCGCAGCGTCTGCACCAGTTTGCACCCCCACCGGCAGTGCACGAGGGTTCTGATTTCCCCACATCTTTGCCAAGAGTTATTTTCTATCTTTCTGGTAACAGCCATTTTTTAAAAAATATAATTTATTGCTGCGTTAGCTAACGTACAGTGTATACGGGGTGCTCTTGGTTTTGGGGGTAGATTCCCGTGATTCATCGCTTACGTACAACACTCAGCGCTCATCCCAACAAGTGCCCTCCTCGCCGCCTATGACCCATGTTCCCCTTCCCCCCGCTCCCCCATCAACACTCATTGCCAAGCAGTACGTCGTCTATGTAAACCGCATCTTCTTTATCTGATAACGGCCATTCTAACGGGCATGACGTTGAATACTTTTAAATGATAGCACACGAACCTGCAAATATTGTCTTATCTGCCAGTTAGCTGCCCCAGACTGACTCGAGGGTGTGAGAAGTGGGCAGCGGGACTGGCCAGTCACGCACCGTCCCACCCTCCTGCGCGGGGCGGTACGCAAATCTTTTCCGGGAAAGAAAGACGTTAAGTCCGGAGAACGAATCAAGTTCACCGTCCCTGCTGTTGCCATGGCTTCGTTTTCTCGATTGTCTAACAGAGGAACCCTCTTGCCTTCTACTACCTGAGAGTCTGATGTTGAAGACAGCTGTGGTCTTCAGGCTTTATAGCAAATCGAATGCTAGGTTTTTCTATATATTTCTGTGAAGCAGTTTCACTTCTATTTGGCTGGAGATTTTTGCTCAAAGGGCAGCTATGGAAATACAAATTGTCCTCCTTATGATTGGAATAAGGATGTCGTCCAGCCTGCCGGGCTTTACTTTATTGTTTTGATGGCAGTGTTTTATTCTTTCCGTCGTGCCTGGATCATTCCGGGTCCAATTTCTTGCTTCTTATTGTACGCTTTCCCCCTGTTAGAGCTCTCTTCCACATAAAGTTGCCTGCATGGTCTTAAGGGGCCTTTGTCAGTTGCATCATGTTCCGATGTTGGCTTCATGATGCTTGTCCTTCCCGGTTCCTCGGATGGTCGCTGTCTTTGTTTTGTTCAAAACCAACAGGACTTGGCCATCTTTCCCACGCAGGTTTGAGCCCTGACTTGGTCTGAGTGTCATCATGGCCCTCTATTTTGACCACCGAGTGGAAGCCCCGGACTCTGTTGGGTCTCCTTCCCACATCCACTGGCACCCTGTCCATCCGTTCCTGGCAGTTGCCTCCGTCAGCACGACCTCAGGAGGCAGCGTGGATGTATACCTGGAACAAGTGAGTAGTAAGAAGCCACAGTGCTGACTCCCAGAGCTCTGGCTCTTGTCTCCTCTTCGTTCTCACGTATATGTGTGCACACGGGTGTGGGGAGTGTGTGGAATGTGGGGGATGTGTGTGTGTGTGTGTGTGTGTGTGTGTGTGTGTGTGTGTGTGTATCAGGTTTTCCTGGGGTTCAAACTCCCAATATTATAAAAGCCCTTCAGTGTGGACAGTTCTCTCAGCCCCGGCACTTAGGTTGGGGACATGGTTAGGAGTGTCTAGCAGATTCCACAGTCAGCCTGTGGCCTCTGACCAGAATCAACCCCTCCGTGCATCTGTGCGTCCCGGTCCAGTCTCCTGTTGGCCACGTTGGCCATCGGAACCTCTGCGGGTGTCCTGTGGCCGCCATAACGAATCCCCGTGAGCTGAGTGGCTTAAAACAAATCTGTCCTCTCACAGTCCGGAGGCCACAGTCTGAAATGAGGGCTCCTCAGGGCCACGCTGTCCCCGAAGACTCTGGGAGAGGACCGTGCCAGCCCTCATCCTGGCTTCCGGCGGCCGCCTCTGCTTGTGCCCACATCGCTCCACTGCCATCATGTGTGTCTGTGTCTCTTTCCCCTTCTTGTAAGGACACCAGCCATTGGCTTCGGGCTCATTCTAATGACCTTTTCTTAACCTGATCATGTGCAGAGGCTCTGTTTCCAAATAAGGTCGTGGCACAGGTACCGGGTCAGGACTTCAGCACATCTCTTTCCAGGATGGCTCTTTGAGAGCTTTGTAGAAGCCCCCCCACCCCCTGCTCCCCACCGCTCTCCGTGCACGACACCCCTCACGTGTCACAAAGACAATCACATTTCCCTTCCCGCTGCAACCCTCTGCAGTCCCACCGCACCTTCACTGGAGCGGCGAAGGTCATCAGTGATGTCTGCGTGCTTCTGGGTCCTATCTGAGGGCCCCGCTCCTGGAAAACAGCCTGGAGGTGAGAGGGGCCGCAAATAACTTTGGCATTGCAGACCCTGGAAAGGCTCCTGGGGTTACCCAAGAGCCTGCACTCAGGGGTGCCTGGGTGGCTCAGTCGGTTGAGCGTCCAACTTCAGCTCAGGTCATGATCTCGCCGTCCATGAGTTCAAGCCCCGTGTCAGGGTTGGTGACACTCCCCCGCTTGCACTCTGTCTCTGTGTCTCTCAAAGTAATAAATAAACATTAAAAAACTTAAAAAAAAAAAAAAAAGAGCCCGCACTTATAGAACCTTGGGGTCAACGCACTTGACCTCCGGGCCTAGTGCTTCTTTTTCTAAATAAAGTTTTATTGGAACCCATTGAAATGCTAGCTAGCAACCAAGCCGTTGTGAGTATGAGGTATGAGATCATACGCCTTGATAACCTGGTCAGCGTGGCCAGTTGAGTCTTAATTCTATGCCTTCACAGCCAAGGGTAAGATTGGTGTTTCTATGAAAATTAAGTAGAACATTTCCTTAATAAACAGCTCTTTATATCCTCTAGCTGATACCGATTTCATTGATCAGCCAGAAGTTCCAGAGTAGCTGTCTCCCTTCACCACGTGGAATTTACCTCTTGTCCGTTGTAGGGTGAGCATGCGCCCGATACGCATATCGAGAGGTCGTTCCGGGTCACTTCCTTGTGCTGGCATCCGACGCGAATGATCCTGGCTGTTGGCTGGGAGACCGGAGAAGTGACAGTGTTTAATAAGCAGGACAAGGAGCAGCATGCGGTCCCCCCGACCCACACCAGCGACATCACTGTCCTCAAGTGGAGCCCCAACGGGAACTGCCTCGTGTCGGGGGACAGGGTAAGCAGACGTGGTTGTCACTGATTTCGGATCGCTGCATCCCCGTCAGTGCTGTTAGAGTGCAAGTGGGGAAGCGTGTTAAAGGTCAGAATTTGAGACATAGTGGTTGCTGAATTCACTTGACCTTGTTGGATGTCATGGCAGAATCTGTTTTATACTGAAAGTAAGGTTTGAAAATTTCGTCCTACCGTTATACTCTGGCAGAGGTGTGTCTGTAATTTTTTAAGTGAACTTTTCTAGGAAACTATGTTCATCAAGGTGAGGTGACTGTTACAGGTACTGTCACTTTTATGCTCCCCCCACCCCCTACCCCCGAATCAGCAGGTTCCCTGAGCACAGTCCTTCGTTGCCTGGGAGGCCCTGGTCCTAATTGTCTAGCTCAGGGCTTCCTCGTGGAGCTCACTTTGCCCCCGGGGGACAGTTGGCAGAATGTTTCTGCTGTCAGAGTGGCTGGAGGGGGCCGTCTCCTGGCATCTAGTGGGTGAAGACCCGAGGAACTTCCCACAACACAGAGTTATCAGCCGAAAGTGCTAAGTAAGTGTTCCCAGGCTGAGAGTCAGCATTTATACCTAATTCGATTCACAGACAGGTGGCAGAAACTTTACACTGCGGTCATTCATTTCCCTTGGGCAAGGTAATACGTTTACGTGTGTCAAAGTCCACAGACTATGAAAAGGTCTCTACCATGACAGGACTCTCCAACCCCATGCACTCCGCTCCCCTCCACCCCGCCCTCCAGCGCCCACAGCTTCCCGAAGCTTCTCCCGTTTCTTCCGATTCACAGCAGCACATACCGAGGCATTCTGTCCCGTTGCCACTTCTGAAAAATTTCAAGCTATTAAAGGAGTTGAAAGACTAGCCCGAGGAGCACCATGTACCCTTCACGTAAATTCTCTGGTTGTTACATTTTGACACGTCTGCTTTCTCTATCTTTTCCCCTGAATACTTGAGAATTTGTCGCAGAGATCACACTTCACCCCAGGTCCTCTGGCGTTGATGTCTTGAGGACAAGGACTTGTACACAGCTGCCATGTGTGTGGCACTCGCGCTGAGGAAGGCGAGCGCTGAGGCGGCGCCCTCTCGGGCTGTCCCGTCCTGTCCCGTCCACGGCGGGTGTTGTCCTAACCCAGAATGTGGCCAAGGACCGCGCGCTGCGTTTGGCTGTCCCTTCTCTTTGGTTTCCCTGAATCACGAACGGTTCCCTGGTCTCATCTTTCCTTTCTTCTCTTGTTTTTGGTCTTTGGTGATATCACCAAACGGAGGAGTCCTGACAGGTTATTTTGTAGACTGTCCCTCAGTATAGACTTGTTGTGCTTGGCGGGGGGTGGCAGTTAGGTGACAGGTAGCAACGTGGGGAGCCTTGCAGGTTCCCGGAGCCAGTGCCAGCAGGGGTGGGGAACAGGGTTCCCCAACACCGAACACTAAGTAGTCCTTGTGCACGGGGTGCCCAGAATTCAACTCCGTTCTGACACCGTGCACCTAGAGACAGCGCCAGGTCCCACGGGTCACGGCCTCCGTCCCGCCCCCCCACCCCCACCCGTGCTCCCGCCACAGGCCACAGAGTGGAGGGTCCTCCTCGGGCTCTTGCAGCCGGTTAGAGCGGCTCCCAGAGGCCAGGGAACCACGTACTCGCGCTTAGCGGTGTGTGGAAGGATGCGATAAAGGACACGAGGCAGCAGCCAGATGAAGAGACGCACAGGGCACGTCCGGGGAGGGCGCAGAGCTCCCGAGTCCTCGAGTCCTCGCCGGGTGCCCCTCCCCCCACCCCTCCCTGCCCGGAGGCCTGCGGTCGCAGTCCTGGGCGGTTATGGAGGCCTCGCTGGAGCCCTCTGACCCGTGGCGGGTCCTCCCGGCAGCCACCCCGCCCCTGGGCAGAGACCCAAAGTCACCTTCGTTAACGTGAGCGGAGACACCTCTGTGGCCCTTCTCACGGGAGATTCCGTGAACCGGTGGTGAGGGAACGTTTGGTCCTCTGAATGAGCGAGGACATATTTGTTATCAGTCAGGGTGTCGTGGGTCCTAATGTGTCACGGGTCACGTGAAGTGATGGTATGTCCCGACACGTGTCAACACACTGACTGCACTTTCGTCTTGTACGACATTAGACTCTTGCTCGTGCGTGGGGCTGATTTCTTGTCTTCCGAGGTGACCTGTGTCTAGAGTGTATAAAACTGTGATGAATGTTGTCACCACAAGGGAGACCGGGCAGCTCAGGTGTTGCCTCCGGTCTGGCACCTGGTTACCCAGAAACCCGACGGGGCTTTGCTGAGAGACTTTGTGTGTAAGTTGCCTTTTAAGGCCGACACTACAGCTGATCCTGGAACCACCTGGGAGTTAGGGGCATCAAGCCTCTCCCAGTCAGAGATCTGAGTATAACTTTGACTCCTCAGAAGCTTACCTGCTAACAGCCTCTGTTGACCCAAAGCCTGGCCAGTAACATAACAGTTGAATAACAACGTTTTACGCGCCGGGTGTATCATATACTGCGTGCTTACCGTAAAGTAGGCTGGAATAAAGAAAACTGCAAAAAACTCACACGGCAGAGAAGATACGTTTACGGCACCATACCCTGAAAGTCCACCTATAAAGGACCCACGTCGAGACCCGAGTTGTTCGAGGGCCATCTGTATCTGGAAAGCACTTTCCCGTTTACGATGATATAGTGCTCTCGGGCCTGCGGGACGATCGGGGGCACGCTGAGAGAACAAAGGATGGGAAGAAGGGTGTGTGGCAGCCTCCTCGAGCGGGAGATGTGCCCTGACAGCTGCGTGGGCCTCCTTGCTGACGGATTCTATGGAAGTGGTGCCGTTTGGCAAAGCTCAGCATGCCTCCGCAGCCACGGAGGCCTCCTGGCCCGGGCCCGATGGCACCGTCTCCCCACCCGACCTCTCGCGCTCGTGAGCGCCCTAAGCTTGAGAGCTCGATGACTTAAAAATTGCACACGTAGTACGCCTGTCCCCAGGTGGTGGTTTCCTGGGAAAACGGCTGATCCCAGGACTGGGGCCGGGCCCTGAGCCCAGAGGATCTGGAGAGCCAGCAAGTAAGGGAAGTGCTCGCAGATCCCGCGGTCCGGGCTGGGTCGGAGGGACGCAGGAGCTAACGAAAGACCTCCCGGTGGCCGAAGCTGGAGCTCGAAAGTGAACCAAGTGGTGCTGGATTGTAACCCAAAGCGGAAAGTCACCGTCTGTGACATAAACAGGGGTATGAACCCGTGATGTAGTAATTAGTGAGTGGTGGAGAAGAGACAAATCTCTCGTCCTGAAGAACCCAAGCGATTATGTAGATGGTCCACACTCAAGCGGGTGACTTCGTTCCAAATAGTACGGGACGGAGAGGGGGGAGAAGCAAAGACTTCACCGTGGACAGGGTCACCCAAGGGACCTCACCGGGCGGAGAGTGTCAGCAGTGGCACAGATGAGGCTCGTCAGTGGCACCGATCACCCGTGTACATGACGTGACGAGAAGGGTGCGCGGTCTCCGTGGCCTTCTCCCCGAACCTACAACCCAGCCCAGTCGCGAGAAGAGCGTCAGACGGGTCCCGACGGAGGGACGCCCCACATCATCCCTGACCGGTTCTGCAAGCTGGGGGGGTTCAGAGACACTGTCCCGGCCCAGAGGAGCCCAAAGGGACGTGACGCCCAAATGTCCTGTGGCTCCTGGTGGGGGGGGACCCAGGGAGAAAGTAAGTGTGAATAAAGCACGACTCTAGTCAATACAGTACGTCAGTGTCGGCTTGTTAAATCTGGGAAACGCACTATGCTAAGTAAGGTCTGCTCACGGGAGAAGTGAGGGTTGGAGAACAGGACTTCTCTGAATGATCTCTGCCGCTTTTGGTAAATCTGAGTCTATTCAAAAATTGAGTTTTGAAAGCTGGCTGTGTGGCAGGTGTTATCTGGGGGAGTGAGGGTGGCAGAGGGCACACGGGAGGCTCCTGTTCCTCCCACGTTCACGGCGCACACATAACAGTTTTGTGACTTGTCGTAAAAGGAATCGGCCTTTATTCTCTCGCACCGCGTAACACTCCCACCGGTCACCGTAAGATTGTGTCTCCTTCACACGGTGTTGGGTTTTCCAGCTTGGCGTCCTGCTCTTGTGGAGGTTGGACCAGAGGGGTCGGGTACAAGGGCCTCCTCTGCTGAAGCACGACTACGGAAAACACCTAACCCACTGCATCTTCCGGCTCCCCCCTCCTGGCGAGTGAGTAAGAGCGCGGGGCTGGTGCGGGGCGGGCTGCGGGCACATCTGCAGTGACCACGCCTTCCTGTAAGGAACCTCTGGGAATCTGACTTCCTGTCGTGTCCGCCTTCCAAAGGGACCTCATTCAGCTGGCGAAGGCGGCTGTGAGTGGCGATGAGCGAGCCCTGGACATGTTTAACTGGAGGAAAAGCAGCTTTGGGAGTCTCCTGAAAATGGGCTCTCAAGAGGGACTGTCGTTCTTTGTCAGCCTGATGGATGGTGAGAATCTTAGGTGGGGATTCTAGGACATTGAAGCATTTAGGGGCGTCTGGTAGGGACTGTGAACAAAGAGGTGATGTCTCTGCATAAAAAAGCAGTAGCCTGTGTGTGTGCCAGCCTCAGAGTGCGCGTCAGCGACTCTCGGCCATCACTGACCCAGCGTTCGGAGAAGGGCCTCACCTGGTCCTGATGGAGGCGGATGGGCTCGGCTTGTGTTTGGAGGGCCCTCAGGACGAGGCCCCGTTGGTACCTCCCCCCGCCCCAGCCGCTCCCGTGTGTAGCTCCGGGCAGGGGGACGGTGCTGCCCTTTTGTTGTCCAGTCTGTGTGGCCCGGAAGCGCCCTGACCTGAGCTCTGGGGAGGGAGTGTGACAGGGCAGGACGGGCGGGGGCACCATCTCTCTGGGTCCTGACTCCTCAGTGTGAGCAGGGACACAGGCACCCGCGGCAGCAGATAAGCGCGGTATGGGGTGCGGGCAAAGAAGAAGGGTTACAGTCATGGGAGACACGAGTGTGCATGCCGCAGGAGTGAGAGCGGGGAAGGGGGGCTCACGACGGCTTCCACAGGGCGGGCCGCCGCGCAGCTCAGCCTTGACGGGAAGAAGAGAGCAGAAGGCAGCTGCCAGGGCTGGGCTTTGCCCTTGTTAAGGTAGAGATACCGCTTGTTTCTGGAGGTAAAAAGAGACGGCTGATGCAGGGGACTTGGAGGAGGTCCAGAGGGCCAGGCGTGGGTACAGAGCCGTGGGCGGTGCCGGGAGGAAGAGGCCAGCGCCAAGGCCCCCTTAGCAGGGAGTCGAGGAGACGATGTGGGAAGAAGGCCCAGTGGGCAGGGGTGCGCGGTGGGGACAAGCCTGGCTCTGGAAGGGTCAGGCCTGCCCCTCCCACAGGAGCTGTGGGCCTCGGGAGGGTCACCCTGTGCAGTCAGACCCCTGCCTGCGAGCTCGCGGGACACGTCAGCTGAGTGAACACGTGTGGGTGTCACCAAGCCTGCCACAGATGCTCGCTGAGGCGGTGCCGGCACGGTGACGTCGTGCTGACCGCGGGCCTCGGCACAACCTTGAAGTTGTAAGGTTGAACGGGAAGTCACGTTATCCTTGGAAGCAGATGAGAGCGGACGGGGAGGGTGAGGAGGCTCCTGAGGGCAGCAGACAGGGCTGCTTGGCGGGCACTCACCGGAGGCTCCCCACCGACTCAGAAGGCTGAGGAGGGGCCGGCAGGCCCGGCAGAGCAGGGGAGGGAGGGCCTCTGGGTCGGGAGAACGTGTGCGGCTGCAGGAGGGCCGTGGCTCCAGGTCTCGGCGTCTGGGTGAGGGATGTGCACCTAATGTCAGCACATCAGGGGGAACAGAGAGTTTCGAGGCCGCCCGGCAGGTGGGCAGGGCTGAGAAGTGAAGCTTATTTCAGAGATGGCCGGGGAGTCTATGTGCAGACGGTTTTTTGATGTTTGGTTTGTAAAGTTTTATAATGGACGTGTTTATGCTTTGCAGTCGCACCTAAGTAGCTACAGGGACGGCCGGCGAGTGCCCCCCACCTGGACTGACCCCTTTGCCCTTAGGGACGGTGCACTATGTGGACGAGAAAGGCAAGACCACCGAGGCAGCGTCCACGGACAGCTCGGTGCAGGCGCTCTTCTACCTGGAGAGGAGGGAGGCCCTGGTGGTGGTCACGCGGAGCCTGCTGCTGTCCCTGTTCGTGGTGAGGCCCGAGGGCGAAGCTGAGGAAGTGATGAAGGTAGGCGGGCAGCAGGGCGGCCGGGCCGGGCTTCACCCGACCTGAGCACCGCCGTCCAGGACCGTCACGAAGGTGACTCCGTTCCCAGGAGCTTTGCGGGAATCCGCCGACGGGCGGGGGCGGGAGAGGGCGGCCAGCTCGCAGCCTGGACACCCGGCTCTGACTAGGGACAACTGCTCACCCCACAGCAGCAGCTCAATTGACCTTCACGGTGGGAACGGGATGGGGGACAACGTCCTGCTTCCCACCCTTGTGCAGATGGGGCCCTCACTTCCCTCCGTCACAGCCGCCGCTGCCCCCCCTCCCCTGCATGTGCCCTGTTTTGCCCCAAGGCGTGTCAGTCGCCCTCCTGGGCAGCACACGTCCAGCTGTGGGGCTGCCGAGATCCAGCGAGGCCTGGAGCAGGTGTCTCAGCCCCATGTTGGCCACTGCTCTCGGCCTGCCGCTCAGTGAGGGCTGGTCCACCCTGCCTCTGGCCAGTCCCCTGGTTTGTACCAGCTGAGTCCACGTTCCTGAGAGAATTCTGAACTTCTCCTGAAGATGATCCTGTAGGTTACCGAGCCGATTGATTTCTTGTGAATAGGTGTTTACACAATTACTTAGGTGCCCCTGGCACAGCAGTGGAAAATAGGGTCCTGAGTCATGAGGACCCGGGTCCAGATCTCCGTGAGCCTCTCACTGGCCGGGGGGCCCGGGCAGGACGGGGTCACGACACCTGCCCGAGAGCGTGTGGTCATGTCTGAACGGGGCTCGCCTTGGTAGTTGCTCTAGAAACGCGCTCACCATGCGCCATGCGCGGAAGGCACAGTCGTTAGCCATTTAACATACCACGGAGAGTCGTGTGGCTGAGTGGGCGTCGCCTTTCCGTGTGTCTCCACCCACCCGGCTGGCACATCCCCACCAGGCCACCACACACTGGACGCTCTGGGCTCCAAAGAGCAACGTGCTTCCTTCAGGTTGTTTCTCGTCATCAGGTCAAGTTGAGTGGGAAGACAGGTCACCGGGCAGACATCGCATTGATTGAGGACAGTGTGCTCGTGACCGCCGTAGGGGAGCCCATCCTCAGGTAAGAGCCCGGATGCTCGGCAGGCACCGCCATCGAGGGTCAGTCCCTTTGGAGTCACATCCATACAACCAGCTCTGAGGTCAGAGAGTAGAGCACAGCACCGACCCAGGCGTCCCCTCTCGGCCCTCACCGGGCAGGCCCGTCCCGATTCCGACGCGTGGTTTTCTCGAGCCTGGCGTATGTGGAATCACGTCTTGGCTTATCTACCTGCCTCTGCTCCATGTGATACTTGGGTTTCTCCCATGTTAATGCCTGTGGTTGGGGTCCCTTCGTTCTCGTTGTGACCTGGTGTGTCACGAACCCTGCTCCCTTTGAATATGAACAAGGCATCAAATAGATCTAAGCATAATGACGGCGGGCCTCTCGTGTCGGAGTCCCTCGGGCTCCGTCCGCTTCCCGATCGCTGTGCACATGGAGCAAGACCCTGGGAGGCGGGGAAGGGCGCGACATGGTCCCCTGAATGGCGCCATCTGCCTTTCATTGTAGATTCTGGGATTTGGAAGGAGGAGAGAATTACGTGCTGAGTCCAGAAGAGAAGTTTGGTTTCGAGAAAGGAGAGAATATAAACTGTGTTTCTTACTGTAAAGTCAAAGGTGAGCCTTGTCGGGTGCCGGAGAGAGAGAGGCGGCCTCAGTCCTCGCTCTGTGGGCTGCAAAACGGCTGGTGGCGACTCAGAGAGCAGCGGTAGATGGGTTGTAACTGTCAGTCGCCTGAGCAAAGTCACTGGGGAGCGGGAAAATGACAGCACGTGAAGGTCGGCGGGTTTGCTCGACGGTGTGGCCGCCGTGGGTACAGGCAGGTGACCTGTGTTCCCTCCTGAAACCGCGAGGAAAAGCGTGGGAAAGTAGCAGTATGCATGCCTGTGCCTGTACGCACGTGTGCACGCGTGTACACACACGGAGGACAGGAAAACGGGCGACGAGCCAGGCCATCGTTTATTTTGTGCCTGCCGGGCACTGGGTGCCAGGCTAGCCCCGGCAGCAGCACCGAACGGGCACCCAGGCCCCTGCTCTCGTGGAAAATCCAGAGGAGCGGCACCGGCCCCCCCGGCGCACGCGGGTGGGGGCGGGGCCGGTGCCGGAGCTCAGCGGGCAGAGGGCTGGTTCGGATGTTTGAGAGCCGTTGCCCCTGCCTTTAACCCTTTCACCTCAGAGAGCTTCGTTTTTACCCGCAGGTCTCCTGGCAGCGGGCACCGATAAGGGGCGAGTTGCCATGTGGAGAAAGCTGCCGGGCCCGCAGAGCGGCCGAGCGGCCGAGGGCGAGGACAGGTGGGCCGTTCAGACCCCCACTGAGCTCGAAGGCGACATCACACACATCAAGGTACGCGGCACCGGGGCGCTGGGCACTCTCTCCGCCCTGCGACGGCGGAGGACGTGGTTGGCTTTGAACCTGCCAGTTCCTCAGCCCAGGGCCCTATAAAAACAACAGAATGACTCTGAAGGCCTTTGGGGTTTCGGAACTGTGGATACGGGACTGTGGGTGTGTAGTCCTCGGTACCCGTGTTCTCCGTCCACCCACCCTCTCTCCGTCACCTCTCTCTACGCTGACAGCAGCTTTGTCGAGATGGGTAACACCCTGGTTTTCCTTTCCGTGTATTCGGAGTGTGCACTCCTCCCCCTCCAACCCCCCATCCCCTGTCCTCTGTGCGCACACGCGCGCGCTTTCTGTCTCCGGGTTTGCCCGCACTTGGCGTCTGGTAGAGACGGAACCGTACAGTCCGCCGCTTTCCGTGTCCGGCCTCTGTCACCGAGCGTCACGTGTCCCCCGTCTGTGCCCGTTACGGTGCATGTGGGCGGTTCATCCCTTCCCACAGCTGAGGGGCGCCCGGTGCGGGCGTGGACCGCGTTTCGTTTCCGTTCTCCTTCCGTCCGTTCCATCGATGGACACATGGCTTGTTTCCACGTCTGGACTTGTTGTGACTCACGTGGCCATGAACGTTTGTGTACAAGCTTCTGTGTGGACATATGATTTCATTTCTCTTGGGCGTATGCCTTTTCTGCTCTTTTATTATGAATGGTCTCCCTGTCGATGGCCCGTATTTGGGGAGATGCAGTGTCACACCTTCCTTCGCTCCTCTAGGTGCCGTTACCTGTATTGTTTGAATATGTTTATAGTGGCTGCTGTGAAGCCCTGTTAAACGTGACGTCTGGGCCTTCTGGCAGTTTCTGTTTGCTTTTACTTTCCAGGGTGTCTGTCATACTCTCCCGTTTTACGTGGCTCTCGATTTTTGGTTGCAAACCGTTCCTCCAGCCGCCCCCCCGCCTCTAGGGTTTCTTGCTGCCGCTTGTTTATTTGTTCGGTGGCTGGACCACCGCAGTGACGTCTCTGTCCCCTGGCGCAGCAGGGACCGTGAGGCTCTCTGACCGTCCTCTCCCTGATCTGCCGAACTTCGTGCCTCAGCCGCACTCAGCTGCTGGCCAGTGGCTCTGGGCATCGATTGCCCCACGGTCCAGTCCCATCCGATTTGGGCAGGTGTGGTCTTTGGGCTCAGGGCCGGTGCTTCGTTGTGACCCAGTAAGGCCGCTCTAGGCGTGTCTGTCCCCCGTTCCCTCTGGGCCTCGGTCTGGCTTGCGGGGAGCTTGTAGCTCTCGTGAAGCTCCCAGCCTCCTCCCGATGCTCACACCCAAAGCCCCGCTCTCTCCGAGAGCACCCTGAGGCTCGGACTTGCCCACGTTCTGTTTCCAGCGAGGTCACCTCCTCTGGGGAGCGCTTCGGAGCTCTGTTCCTGTGGGCTGTCTCTCCTCCTGGGGGAAGAAAGTCTGAGTCGCCCCTCCAGAGCTCAGAAAGGGGACGGTGGCCACTCCCGTGCAGTGATACCTTGCCTGCCCTGCGAGCAGGGAGCCGGGCTCCGCGGCCTGTGGTCTCCTCAGGCCGCCTCTCCCAGAGTGGAGCCCACGCACCGTGAGCGAGCCGGGGCGCGGGCGTGGGGGCCCGGCATTCTCGGGCACCCCGAGAGCCGCAGGGACCCCACCCTCACAACGTGGAGCCAGGGGAGTGAGAAACGCCACCTGGGAGATGCTGTGGCCACGATGAGACAGGGAGCCGACCTCCCGGCCACACCTGCCCCGGGGGGGGTGGGGCGGGTGGAGGGCACCACAGACGCTGCTGTTCCTGCCAGGTCCAGCGGACTTTCCTGAGGCCTTCTTCATTTGCCTCTTGCCCAACTTCCAGAGCGTTAGGTGGCCGTTGCCTCACACTTTGCTCCGGTTGTGCCCGCCCCCGTCTCAGGGCTCCTGACCTGCTGCCTCAGACCTGGTCCTCGGACCTGCGGTGTGCGGTCCTCTGAGACCAGATCTACCTAAGCGCAGCCGGGTCAGGACAGGAGGACACACGTGCTAAGTGGTCAGGGGCGCCATATGGCACTTTGGGGGCTACCCTTAGACCCTTGTGGCACAGCCGGAGGTAAAAGTCGCTTCTCGGTGAAGTAGGGAGTTAAGTATCCTACCGAGGCCAAAATGAATGGCTGCAGAGAGCATAGATTATTATCAGGTCGGCAGAGAACGTACGACTTTCTCAGATTTGAAGAGATAGGAAGAGCCCTGCTAATTTTCCTGAAGAACTTAAAGAGAAACCAAGTAAGCGCTGAGACATTCCTTAAAGAGAAGCCTCGATCTTATAGACGTGTCACTTCTTCCCAAGTAAGCTTACCCATTACATGTACGTCTGTGCAAATCATGACCTTTTTTTTTTTTTTCCCTTCCGGAGGAATTCAACAAAGTTAACTCCTCTGGGGGAGCACATGGCACGTGGCTGAGGAAAACACGTACAGAATCAGAACATTTCCATATCCCCGGCCAGAACATATCTCGAAACTACAGCAATTAAAACAGTGCACGCTGGTCGCAAATGGGTAGACGTAGCCGTGGAACGGGATAGCGCAGCCAAAGCCAGACTGAGGTAGATTTGGAGGGTGATGTGAAGTTATCAAAGCAGGAGTTCGTGTCACCGGAGGAGAGCCACGCGATTTAATACACTGTGTCAGCCTGCTGTCCGTTTGCAAAGAATAAACATCCCTAAATTGACAATTAACGGGTCAGAACAGACCGGAGACGGGACAGCCACGCCAGTGTCTCCCTGTCGCGTCACACCTCGAGCGTCCGCGTTTCACGGTTTTCCGTACAGCGCGTACTTTACGCTTAAAAATCTGTAAATCGGTTTCCATAACGAGGGGAGGTAGGGCCGGGAAAACTGTCGACGCTCCGCGCGTGTGCCGCTCTCCTGACCGCGCCCCCCTCCTCTTTGCCCCACTCTCGTCTCGTCTGTGGCGCGGAACCCAGTGGGGCTCGCGGAAGAGCCTGCTGGCGGTCAACAGCATCAGCTCCGTGGTGATCCTCAGCGAGCAGGCCATGTGCTCACACTTCCACCAGCAAGTGGCCGTGGTGCAGACCTCCCCAAGCCTGCTCAGCGTGTCCTTCCTGTCCACGGGCGTGACGCACAGCCTGCGCACAGACATGCACGTCCGCGGGGTGTTCGCCACCAAGGTGACCGCGTGGGGGACGCTGGGCTCGGCCGGGCTCTTCGGTGTGGACAAAGGACCTGGCCGGCTGTCTGGGTCACTCGGGGCGGTAAGGGTGCCGGTGGCGGGTTGCTTTATGATCTCCGTGACTCTCTATAGGATGCCGTTGCTGTCTGGAACGGGAAACAGGTGGCGATCTTCGAGCCTTCTGGAGCCACGTTACGGAATGCAGGTGAGAGCCTTGTCCCCCCACGGGGGGCTCACAGCACCCTGCTTTTATCTTCTCGCCATCCCACAGGGGTGCTGGTGCCCGTGGTGTGGGCCCTGGCCCAGGGCTCCGGCCCTTCGCTGATGGGCGGCACCCTACCGAAGCCAGCGGGGGGTGGCCGGGAAGCCCTCCTGGGTGCCAGGACAGTGAACAGCCGCAGTGCTTTCTGGGGAAGGGGGTTGCTACGATAACCCGGCTTCTGAACTGGTTCCCGACCCGCTCAGAGCAGGAGCCCCGTGGCACCTTGACCAAAGCCAGCCTGTGTCTGGAAACGTGAGATGGGCTGTCAGAGACGCTCTGTCAGCCTCCGCCTCCTTCTCACGGGCGCCTTTCCCTCACTCTTCAGCACAGGCCTGCGGGAGTGTCCTGGGGCTGCTGTGACAGTGACCGCAACCTAGGCAGAAATTTTCTCTCTCACAGCCGTAGAGGTCAGGAGTCCAGACTCACTTTCCCCGGGGCCAAATCGAGGTGCCGACAGGCCGCGCTACCCCCTGAGCACTTGGGGAGTCTGTCCCTCGCTTCTTCCAACGTTTGGCGGCTGGTGGCCATCCTTGGCTTGGGCCCCATCGTTCCATGGCCTACCCGCACCGTCGACTCGTTCCTGTTGCAAATCGGCTCCCTCTTACGGGGACGCTTGTGGTTGCCTTTAGGGCCCACCTGAGTCATCCGGGACAATCTCCCCATCTCACAACCCTCCAGCTTTGCCCTTATCCTAACATTCATGGCTCCAGGGATGAAGACCTGACAGCTCTGGGGGTCGTGTCCAGCATACCCGAACGACCCTTGGGATGCGCTTCTTGGCCGGCTCTTTTATATGGTTGTCCTGTCCACCCGTGCTGACCCCACGGGTCCGGTCTTCGCGTGCTCTGGGAGGCTCTCCCTGTGGGCTTGTCTGAGCCGCTCTCACGTCCCTCGGGGTGTTGCTCCCTCACCCCACAGGAGGCTGTCCCCGCTTCCCAACCCCTCCCTCCTTTTCTCCTCTAACACTTCATTGCCTAAATTTTCCTAGAAGACTTTTCCTGCCCTGCCTCGTGTTCTGGCCTTACTTAACGTCCTCTCTTCCAGGGCAGACCCCCTCGGGGCAGGGATGAACTTCTTGCCTCACGAGAAGACAGCACGGCAGGTGCTGACGTATTTTCTGTCTCGTGTGTATCATCACCTCCCTGACTAGATAAGAACCAGTCTAGACCCAGAGACTAGGGCTGGTGGCCTCCAAAGGTCCACCTAGAGTGGACGGACACCTGCTTGAACAGCCGCACCAGCTACTAGTTGGAGGAGAGAGGAGACGGCTAGTGAGTGGGGCAGGGCGGGGTCCCTGGTGCCGCAGCCCCGGGCCTGCACGCGCTGTCCCCGTGCCTCGGGCCTCGCTTTCCCGCAAGAACGCACCCCTCACTGCGCTGTGGTGAGGGCCGGGGCGCGAAGGAAACGTGCGTGAGGAGCTGAAGTCTGAGCACGTGTGCAAAGGTGGGCTGCCGTCGTATCCTGTTCATCTCTCGTCCTAGGAACCTTCCTGTGTGAATCTCCAGTGTTAGCCATGCACGAGGAAAACGTTTACACCGTGGAGCCAAACCGAGTTCAAGTTCGAACCTGGCAGGTAAATCATTGCTCTGCAGCGAGAGGGTTTGATGGTAAAGCAACTAGAACAGTGGAAAAGGCCATCTGTAAGTCTAGCCACAGCCACTTACTGACTGCACGCGGCCAGACCGTAATCCCCCGGCCCGGTGCTTGGTGGTAAACTGGACCCCAGGCTGGCTGCTCCACCGGTGACTGCCGGGATTTGTGATATCGGGGGGCGGGGCAAGGGCCCCGCACAGTGATAAGGACTGGGTCGCTGGACCCCGAGTCCACGGGCTGGAAGCGGGAGGAAACGTTTGCTGCAGTTAATGTCCATCCCGAAGGCTCTGGACAGGCCCTGCCCTGCATGTTGTGTCCGTATCCCAGACACGCGCAGGAGCCCGGGGCTGACCTGGTGCGTTAGTTTCCTGAGCCTGCCATCCCAAAGCACCATAAATCGAGCGGCTTAAGGCAATAGAAATTTACTTTCTCACAGTTCAGGAGGCCACGACCCAGGGGTGGGCAGGGTTGGCTCCTTCTGAGGTTCTGAGGGAGCGTCCATCCCACCCACCCCTGCTTCTGGCGGCCCCGGCGTGCCTTGCTGTGCAGATGCATCGCTCCGTCTCTGCCTCTGTGTTCACTTGGCCCTCTTGTGTCTGTGTCTTGTTCTCTGTGTCTTATAAGGACGCTTGTCCTCGGATTTAGGGTCACCCTAATCCAGAGCAGTCTTCTCTTGAGATCCTTAATTCCATCTGCAAAGACCTTTTTTCCAAAATAAGGTCACGGTCACAAGTTCCAGGTGGACAGATTTAGGGGCCACCGCTCAGCCCGGGACACGCAGCAGCGTTGTGTCAAGGTCGGGAAAACTTTCACGGCCCCGGTCTCAGCTCTTAGTGGGACTGCGTCTTCTGTCTCTGAGTCCTTTGCTGGGATCCGTGTTCGGTTTCTGTGGGCTGCAGTTCGCCTGTGCCGTGTCATCCACTGCTCACCCTGCGTGCCGCAGATTTCCAAGTTCTTCCTGGTGGGGCTCAGGGCGGGTGGGAAGTGCCCCTCGGGGAGGCCCTGGAGTAGAGCCTCACGTGGGGATGCCGCCCCCCGCCCCACCTCCACCGTGAGGTCCTCAACCTGTTTGAGGTGGGAAGGGAGGCAGAGAGAGAGCTGCAGGGAAGGAGGCCAGAGCCCGCTGCCGCTGGCGTTGGTTGGGGACACCTGTTGAGGCCAAGAGGGGCCGTGTTAACAGCCCATGAATGGCGCAGCTATGTGAGCACAGGCGGCCCGCGGGCCCCGCTGTAGGGTTGGGGGGTGGACAGCCAGCAGAACTGGGCTCATCGGGAGTAGCAGAGAATTGCATCCGGGATGAGCAAGTTACAGCAAAACCACAGCAAGTCTGCAGAACCGGGAGAGGAGGCTCTTCTGCGGGTGCGGCGAGGCTGTTGTAGACAAAACGTCCCCTGGGGTGAGCTGGGGGCTGGGCTGTTGTGGGAGGGGACCTCCCTCCTGCTGGGGTAGCAGTCTACGCTTGAACAACTTATAGGCAAGGGGGCCAAGCCCCCAAGCAGTCAAAATCCACATGTAACTAGACTCCCCAGAACTCTGGTGCCCGGAAGCCTTACCAGTAGCACAGTTGGTTAACGCATATTTTGTAATACGTGTTGTATTACACTCGATCTTAGCCGAAAGGCCAAGAAGCAATTATCTGTGTTACATACTGTATTTTGACAATAAAGCAAGCTAGGGAAAAGAGAAGAAAATCACAAGGAAAATATCTTTAGTCTGTACCATATTTACAAAGAAATGTGCAGGTCAGTGTGTAAGTGGACAGCGCGGCTCAGAGCCCTGTTGTCCAAGGGCCAGCTGCGTATCCACTTGCACGGTTGGTCTCTTCCTGTGGAGTCTGCAACCGACCTGGCAGGTGGGGCTGAGAGCGCCCCCTGCCGGCCTCCTGACTTTTTTTTTTCTAACATTTATTTTTGAGAGAGAGAGGAAGATACAGAATCTGAGGCAGGTTTCAGGCTGTGAGCTGTCAGCACAGAGCCCGATGTGGGGCTTGAATTCACAAACCGTGAGATCACAACCTGAGCCGAAGTACGATGCTCAACTAACTGAGCCACCCAGGCGTCCCCCGACTCCATTTTCTAAACGAGGTTTCCCTTTATTCTCACATTTCCCCTTTTTGATCAAGATCTTTCTTTGAAAGCATCACTGATCAAGTCACGTTTTCCATATTTAGTGGTCCTGTTCCTCCGTGCCAGGAAGGGCCTTGCCTGGTTGTCCTGTCCCACATCACAGGTCAAGTGCATAGCTTGCTGCAAACCACTTAGGGCCACGTTTCAGTAACACGGAAGGTCAGGAGGCGGAGAAAGGCAGCCTGAAGGTACACAAGCCTAAAGTTTGTACGGTTCCAGTGCCGTAAGCCTTGGAGATCATCTCCTTGTTGGGTACGTCGTGTTTCAAAAGTTTGAAGAAGTAACAAAATACAGACCTTAAGATAACATACAAAAGAGGAAGTAACACGATAAGGCCAAATCATATGACGAGCCAGGACCAGGTGTGAAGGGAGCCGACTGAAATACTTACCAGCACTTACTCTGACGTAGGGAGAAGGGTTCTCCCTGCGGAAGCAAACTGAGGCCGTGTCTTCCTCCTGAAATCTCCCTCAACGACAGCCATGAGGGCAGCACAGCGGGCCCGCAGGGGCACCCTGAAAGAATGAGCTGTGCATCTGGGAGGATACAGTGCAAGCAGAGAAAGAAAGCAATAGGTGAACTTCTTGCCAAACGGCAAAACTTCAAAGACGTCTTAAATCAGTACTGTCCTCTCAAACGCGCTGTGTGGAACCAGAGGTGTTCTCACGGATACAACACGTACACTTGTAAATTCAGACACCGTGAATCTGGGTAATAGTTTCGACGAAGGAAAGACTTCTGCAAATTCTGAACCTTCTCGCTCTTCGGAAAACATTTGTGAAAATGAAACATTCATGTGTCATTGGATCACGACGAGGCTTCAGCGAAAGGCCATAAACGAAGAGGTTTGCCCTTTCTCGAGGGTGTGGGAAATGCAGACGAAAGCGTCCCTGTCATGAAAGACAGCAGCTGCAGCGGCGAGGACAAGGAGCACGGGCCTGGGCTGCACGTCTTGGCAAAGCGGTCTCGTCCGCCTCGGTTCCAGGAAATCTGTGCTCTCAGGTCACCGGACGGCACGCAGGGCCACTCGGGGTTCACTGCTTCGTTTAGATGCGTCACGTGAATCCAGAGTCTATTTCCTCTAGTTCGGCAGCACAAAGGCTGGTTACCCGTGGCTGATAAGAACCTTTCCAGTGGGGAAGAAAATCTTTCTGGAGGCTTCTTTTCTGACAGCCTCCAGGTGGCAAGGCTGATCTAAGGTCACCGTCTCCCAGGAGCGCACGGTGAAAAGATCGCTCTGTGAAAGCATGGTTATTTTTAATGGAAGCATTTAGGCCTTTACAACATTGAAGTGCATCTCCTGTTACCAGCTGTGGGTCAGAGGTGGCAGGGGCCAAGTGCACTGACACCCTGTGACGACCTCACAGGGTGAGAGCCTAGGAGTCCCCACGGCGGGGGATCTCAGATATAGGACCAACCACAGTGCTTTAGGCCACGATGGTTGGAGGGCCTCTACACATTTTGCCAACTGAGTCTTAGCGGTGCCGTTAGGTGAATGTGACTCACCCACGGTGACGACGCTGCACAACCAGCCAGACAGGACAGACTCACTGCAGCACCCGCCTGGGAAATGGGTCCCCTGGTCACTGCATAGCTGGAGAGCGGTTCCCAGGTAGGGGTAATGTTTTCTGACAGAATTTTAGCCACAGAAACGGCAGGGGACTGTGTGCAAGGGAAAGCTTCGGCCCAGTGAGGAAAGATACGGACCGTGACCAAAACATATTTACGTCCGTGAGACAAGCACGTTTTATCAAACGAGCAGGCTTCTCCAGATTATGCGTTTGACAGGCAGGGCGAGCGAGGCGGGCACTTCTTGTGGCACTTCTCTTAATACGTCTCCACGTTTGTTCATGAACCCTATCATTTTGTGAGTAAACCAGTGGTTTAATACGTGTCTGGTGGTAACAAGTGGGACTTTGGAATTTCTGGCGGGGCCGGGGTGTTACTTGGTCGAACTTTTATCAAACCGACAATTACCAATGTTTCCAACATTGTCTTTCTCTTCTGGGGCCAATCGTTGGGCACCTCTGGTCAGTTGTTCCAGATCGTCATTTGGAAGAACGTCCCTTCGGAAAATGACTGAGGTCTAGCTACCGGCCTCCCTGACACCGACACTGCTGGTGGAAATAGCAGCCTAGTGGTTTCCTTTGGCCTCCAGGGAGCCAAGTCTTGAATGCCCTTAACGACAGTCAGAGCTGCTGGCCGAAGTGAGGCTTCTAATACATTTCAGACGTAGGAGCCATCTGAAATTTCATCCCCATTGGAGCGAAGGAAATCTTGTGGCTCCCGGAACGTCTCCGGATCCCGGGCGGCCCCGAAGGCACACCGAGTGTTGGCGTAAATGTGTGCGGTTTTACCCCAGCTGAGGTCTGAGCTCCGGGACGGGCCTGTGGCAGCCTGTTGGGCTGAAGCAGCAGGCGGTAAAGCAGCCACCTCGGTGGCTGCCACGGGAGTTGCTGTAGCAGAGCTGGCACGGTGCCCGCCGCTTCCCTCCGCACACCATGAAAGTGCGCGTTGGTTGGACGAGTTTCCTGTCACTTGTGATGGGCAAGGTGATCTGTCCGCGTCAAGCAGTCATGAGGGGTTTCATGTGCGTCCAGGTGGAGTCCTCGTTCTGAGATCGGATGCCCAAAGCGTCGAGCCTGAGTTTGAGCAAGCTGCAACCTTTCTTTGGAGACTTTGTCTCTGTTTTTTTTATTGTTTTTTTTTAAGTTTATTAATTTTGAGAGAGGAGAGAGAGAGACTGCGTGTGAGCAGGGGAGGGTCAGAGCGGGAGAATCCCGAGCAGGCTCCGTGCTGTCCGCGCAGAGCCCGACGCGGGGCTTGGATTTATTGGGGCGCCTGGGTGGCTCAG